GTGAGGAAGCGCCTCCGGGGTTCTGGTTATTACATGCTGTAAACTGGTATTGTGGAAAATGATATATTTAAGCTATACTTTGTGGGCTTCTGTTGGTTTTCTTCCTTGTTAATATCGTTGCTGTCATGATGTATCCGGCTTATATGAATTCTCCTTCTGCACATTCATGATCGTATATGCATATTCCCACTGCCGAACAGTATTAACTCACTCAGAAATAGGAAAAACGATTTGTTTTATTGATTTCAAAAAGGAATCTACTGTCCACAAAGCTGATTAAATGATTTAATAATCCATATACTCCTTTAGGAAATTGAATATTAAACGGCCTGCGAGTCAAACTCCTGGTACATTATATGGATATAGCGCAGTATAAGAACATGCTATAAGCACAAACACATTCTCATTAGAGAAATGCTTCAGGGTGATATCACTCATATTTCCCTTTAAGTTAATATTTCTTTGTACTTCAAATATCACAAATATGCCCATCATAGCTTGCATGTTAAAGCTGTAGACCAAATATTCACATTATACACCATGAAAATAAATGTGGCTTAATGTATGGATTCTATTCCCATGGCAAAATGTGTTCAGTCAACTTCAGTCTTAATTATTGATTTTTTGTTCTGAAGTTTTATTTGATTATGTGTACAGTATTATATTTATATGTACAGAATGTGCTGTAAACAAAAACAACGCAGACATTCTCCAACTGTATTTTAATGCAACACGTGACATTATTAATGGTCAAGAAACCGAGGGAAAGCCTTGGTGTACATTAATGAATATAATAAGACTTGTTTCTGTTCTGGAAACAGGGAAGATGGACCATGTGATAAATGTTCATGGCAGTTGTTGGCTGGTCTTCTGTGAAGAGTCATTCTGTATTCTGCTGAAATGTGATGTAAATAAATGTTGCAGAAAAAAAGTCGCGAAAGCTCTGATGTTTCCGGAAAAAATGAATGTAATTTAGTAGCTGATTAGACATTGAAACCATGTACATGTATACACTTGTGAATTATTCAATTAGGCTTTACTCTCTATGTCATTTTCCACACATCTTTGTAATATGTTCTGCTGCTGACTCAGGAAAACTCAAGGGGGGGGGATGACTTTACCTGGGAAATGAAATCCACCACCGCTGCTGGGGACCCTGGGAGCACCCACCCCCCCCCCCCGAACCTTCACACAGCCAGGCTGAGGACAGAGTTATTAAATGAGCTACACTTCAGTATGCTACCATCACTCATTACTCATCTATTGATTGTACGTCTGTCTTTTCTAATGAGTTTCATAGTGTTTTTCCCGACCTTCTCTTGCTATTATGTATGCATTATTGAGTAAAAGTCTTAGAATATATATCACACAATTCCTTACTCTTGTGCATTTCAATTATTAGCATATTGACATCGCCAGCCTGCAAAGATAAAAGCCTCACATGAAAAGGAAGATTAAGCTTTTGTCAGAATGAGCAGTGGATGCAGATTAGACATAATCCACTCTTAAACACCGGTTTTTATAATCACTGTTTTTGTTTTGTGGTGGATTAGGGTAAAATCCAGGTAATTCAGTAAAGATAAGATATGAGGAATGGCATGATATGCAGCTCCTTATCTACTAAACCAGGAGGTAAGCTGGATATATTCGTAAAGAGCGAGAGAGAGAGTCCAGTTATGGATGTAATGTGTCAGCGTTAAGTGCCTTTCCAAGTGACCATTTTCCAATTATTTCCCTAACAATGCACCGCTGCATTGTTAGAGGCACAATGGAGCAGCGCCCACATAACATTTAACATGTACAATAACTTTGCAGACAGATAAGAAATATTTTCCAAAAACACAGCCCACATGATCACACGGTTTTGGTGTTTTCAAACCTTGGTTGTGTCAAATTAAATTGTATTAAAAAGTGTCCTGCAGTGTGAGGGCGCCCGTATGACAGAGCATGGAGGAGGAGGAGGAGGAGGAGGAGGGGCCGACGAAGGGGAAGTGCCGATTGCAGATCTCCTCGGATTAAGAAGCAGCAAAAACGGGAGATTATTAAAAATAATAAGGCCCACCTCTGCCTGCTAATGACGTGGCAGTGGAAAACACTCCCGTTGATGAGGGACCATAACTCATCTTGTTTACTGTGTAGGCCAAGAGTGTAATCCAAATGAAGGGGAAATGATCTGTACTGGTGTGGGCGGGATTTTGTTTTTTTCAGGGGACGTGATCTCCAGAGAGTTAATTATCCACAATTCAGCTGTAGACATTGTATAGTTATAATGAACCACAGCTAATCTATACTTTATTTCCATTAAATATGAATCAAGAATCAAATCTATTAACCACTGCATCAATAGGCTTGTTTTTACTATTCTTTAAATCACATTTCCCATTAAACAGATTACATTCAATATGATATCGGCTTTATCCTAAATATAATGATGAAGCAGTGGACCTGATAATCACCACACTTTATTTTCACTCCAATCCACTTTATTGCGCTAACACAAATCTTCATTCCAGTAAGTAGCCCACACACACACACACACACACACACACACACACACACACACACACACACACACACACACACACACACCCCCCCCCACACACACACACACACACACACACACACACACACACACACACACACACACACACACACACACACACACACTCCAAAATTAGAGCGGTGCAAAGGGGGAAATTAATTTGCGGCTGCGGGGAAGTTAACAAGCATAGTGTTAAATACCTTGAAATAAAAGAGAACTGGCTGGAAAATGGCTGTCTGTTAAACAATGAAAGAAATGCCTTTATTCCATTACAGGAGGGATGTTCAAATGGTGGTGGGTGGGGTTAGAAATATTGAGCCAGCGGAGGTGGGGTTGCATTGCTTTAACACATTTGGTGTTGCATGTTGTTACAGTCAGTGTTCTCTGGTTTGTCTTTGAAACGGGAGCACTGGTGCCCTCTATTCAACACAGTGACACACAGGATGATTAACAGAGGAAGAGACATGCATTTAACACCTGTGATATCTCTTAATGTCATATATTACTTCTTTGTATCTCTCACAGCAAAGATAAGGGGCTTACTGTATATTGTCTTAGACCAATTCTTCCAATCACTACAGGATTGCTCAGATCAACCAAAAACAGAAGACTCAAAACACCACTGCAAATCATTTAATTGTCTTTGAAAGCTTGTGGCAGATGTTGCTCCATACTGCAGCAATGTGTTCCACCCAGAGTAATAGATAGAGAGTTTCTGTCAAGTAACCTGGCTTCTTAGAGAGGACTGTTTCTATCAGCGGCCGCAGAGCCAAGGGCTTACTGAGGAGAGTCTGCGATGAAGAGACTCTTGTATGAGTGATGAGTCTGCCTCTGGACGAAGGGCCAATGTTCTCAGGCCCTGGGATTGGTCTTAATGTGGTTTGGTGCTCTGAAGCCAGGATCAGGCCCTAAAGCATCCTTCTGCTCATACATCGTCTTTATCAGCAGGCCTCCATGGGCTCATAGAGGGCGAGGACTGGACTTTGATGGCACCTAAATCACTGATATCATCGGGTGGAGTCAGCAAGGTGAGATGAGGTGGGGTTTCCTTTTTTCTTCAATGTGAAACCACAGACAATATAATTACATACACTGTTTCTTATATTGTAAACTTCAAAAATGATTTTATTTGTATTTTATATGTGTACAGAAATTAGATTTAACATTTATGTCATGAAGTCAAAAACTACAATCCCATTTATTTCAGTATTCTACTCATTGTCAAAGATTGAGTTGCAGCACACCCTTAAGCCTCTTTGCATTGACCTTTCATTCTTTGAGTTGTAATTTATTTTGATTTCAGCCTCATTATATTTCACATTCATACTACTTTGTATTTTCCTTGTTGCCAACTTTGCATACTTGTCCGCTAACTCATTACCCTCCACCCCAATGTGTGCAGGGGTCCATATTACTATTCCTGCTCTTGATGCTCTTGTCAGATCCTATTAACACCTTCTTCAACCTCCTTCTACCCAAATCAGAGCTAGAAGAATAGCCAGAAGCTCCAGTAGGCTATACACAGCCAGACCATCGCTAATTCTTTCGCTTTTCATAACCTCAGATTCTGGAATGATAAATGCTATCCCCACTTTATTATTGTCTGTTTTGTACGCGTCAGTGTACTTTTGTAAAATCCGGGTACTTATTTTTTAAATGATTATTGGCCTTTACTTTATTTGTAGAACTTCCTTTTGCCTTATCTAATAATCTAAATCCACATATGTCTCCTGTAACGTCCAAGACTGCAGGGGCACTGTTGGATTTATCTCTGCGTTAGCTTAGCTCATGCACCATATTTCCTATAGTCCAACCAAAACTTTTCATTTGTCGCTATTCCCTCTCTTGACAAATCTTTAGTACGTTATGCACTAGACTAGATGATTATTAGTCTGTCCTTTTATATTTGCCCAGTAAGTTATTGCTATTTGCATCCTTTTTTCAAGAGGCATTTCCCCCATTTCAACATAATCTCAACGCTTGAAACTGTATAATATCCAATTTTCTTAATAATGTTTTTGATGCCGACTCATAGACGTAGTCTAGTCATAGTAGTCATAGTAGTCAATCACTGATCTAATTAACCCAATATTGTTTTTAGAGCTGCCCTATTTGCCCTCTCTGACATCTGATAATCATTTCATAACCTTTTTGCATTTTGTCACACAAATAAGAAATATTTAAAGCATCAACTTGTTCTATTACCTGACCATACAACTTAAGGCTGATTTGATTGCTCACTTTCCTTTTGGTAAATAAAACTACTTTTGTTTTCCCTACTGAAAACCTAATACCCCATTCAAGTGCCCAAGCTTCAACCTTTTCAATAGCCTGCTGTACTTTTTTAACAATAAATTCAACATTTCGCCCCCTTTTCCACATCACTCCATCATCATGCAGTAACAGTCTCTGTCCACTAGACGTCAGCATTGCGCCTCTGAAGCTGCTGACTCTGCACTAGAAGACACATTCATCAAACCCGGAAGCGTTCCTGAATCGCCCGTACTGCTATTCATTCAGGCTGCTGAGATTTACTTCAGTTACTGTTAACATATCCGTTCTTACCGAGCGCCTGATATATTCTCTTGTAGATAGACTAAAGAAGAGCAAGCATGGCTGGTCGGCTACCGGCTTGTGTTGTTGACTGTGGCACGGGGTAAGTGACAACAATAGAAGGCTAGCTAGCTTTAGCCTGCTTTTCATAAGCGGCTGTCAAACTTCCAGCTAACGCCCCGTCTAGCTGAGTAGCCCGAACGATGCTAATGTTACTTAGCCACGTCTATTTACTATTTTATTCTAATATTGCCTTTAGAGACGGGGTTGGTGCTAAGAAGTTGCAAGCCAAAATGCCTGCCTGTGTTATTTTGTAATGCTTTTAATCTCAATGCTACGTTATCGTTGCAGTTAGCTGCTACTAGCTACCGAAGCTAATAGTAACTTCCTGGACCATCCTCATAGCAGAAAGCATTTATCCAGATTATTTGGGTTGTAACTGCGTCTGTAGTTTCCAGCAAACACTTTAACTATATTAATGAGCTGCAACCAAAGGATTATCCTCATACTGTTTCCTTTTTAGGTACACAAAGCTTGGTTATGCAGGGAATACAGAACCACAGTTCATCATACCTTCATGTAAGTAAATGAGAAAATAACCAAAACAGGAATTACATTTGATCAAATAATTGTTATTTTAGCTGGATCTTATTATAAATGGATTATAAGTATAGCCTACTAATGTATTTATTATTTATATTAATATGTATACAATATCTGTTAATCAATAGAAACATAATCAAGGTTTTTTTCTTTGAACTACTTGAAAAGGGGACATATCTTTGTAACCCGCTTTAAAAGAGTCACAGAAAGAGCTAACAGATGAACACATGTCTAGTTGATTCGGCATATCATGTGAACCTGTTGTTAAAATATAGAACAATTCCAGGATTATTATTTAAATGTGTATAATCATCTCCAGGTATCGCAATCAAAGAATCAGCCAAGGTTGGAGACCAGGCCCAGCGAAGGATGATGAAGGGAGTCGATGACCTGGACTTCTTCATCGGGGACGAAGCCATCGACAAACCATCATATGCAACAAAGGTAGACGGGACATTTCAAATGAGCCAGAATGGATCTTCTGTTGTGAAGCGGTTTGATTTAGACATGTTATCCTTTTTATTCCCAGTGGCCCATCCGTCATGGAATAGTGGAGGACTGGGACCTGATGGAGAGATTCATGGAGCAGATCATCTTCAAGTATCTGCGGGCAGAACCTGAAGACCACTACTTTCTTTTGGTAAGACCAACAATGATATAGTCCTTTAACGTAGAACAGTGTCAAAGTCATTTGGTATTTACATCAGTATTCTCTCTCTCTCTGTAGACAGAGCCTCCCCTCAACACACCAGAAAACAGAGAGTACACAGCAGAGATCATGTTCGAGTCCTTCAATGTGCCGGGTCTCTACATCGCTGTTCAGGTAAGTCACAAACATGAACTAACACATGACGTCAGCCACATTGCTAACAGCCAATCAGTATTTACTTCCTGATATGGAATCCAGCATTACGCATATAGAGAATAGGGCTGCAGGATTTTGGGAAATAATCTAATTGCGATTTTTCTGACAGATATTACGATTCGATTTGCGATATTTGTTTTTAAGCGACCCAACGGAAGTTTATTGTAAAATGCAGCCATATCTCCGGCTAGGAAGGTCGCATCAACATGCTCCCGTCTCTAGCACCCCTGCAGCCTGAGCTACGAGTGAAAGAAATAAACTTACATGACACTTCCGTTGGGTTGCTTTAAAGTCAAGCTTCAGTTTAAGATTCACCCTGTAATAGATGTAAAACATGTGATGGACTCCGATTCAAAAATACTTGGCAGGTGATTGGATCAATCTGTCTATCACCTTCTATCATGGGCCACTTCTGATTGGTTAACAATGGCTGGTACATGTGGAGCACAGCACTTCTGATTGGTGTGGATGACTGACACACAAGAAGAACAAAAAAAAAAAGTTTAAAAAAAATCATAGGCGTTGCAATTTAATAATCGCGTCATTTCAAATTTCGATTTCAAATCGATTAATCTTTCAGCCCTAATAGAGAACCACTCTTTGCAAATGTGAAAGCAGACTTGTGGGTTCTAGATAGAATTGGACATGACTCTCAGAATGTGTTGTGATTCTGACGTTCAATGCGGAACTGCAGATTTCCACTTCTTCTTTTTCAGTTTCACAGTGTGGTAAGATGGTTAAAGTTCTGCAGAGTGTAGTCATTCGGCATTTCTATTAACTGTTTCCACACTTTCTGCAATATATGCTAGATTTTTCTATTTATTGACTATCTTTAAACAGTACCAGCTACTTCTATAATTGTATATGATAAACCTTTTAGAAAAATATACTGCTACTTTTGTTTTGTTTACCATGGTATACTTTTTTTATAATGTGTGCTTACCTTTTTATGTAAGTCTATTTTTTTTGTAACTTTATATGCACTATGCTTTTGGTGATGTTGTACCGTGAATGTCCCCGTTGCGGGACAAATAATTCTGATTCTGATGAACCAACACATAATGATTTTTTAAAAAAAAGTAATTTTCTGCTTCAGGCTGTCCTGGCGCTGGCTGCCTCCTGGACATCCAGACAGGTGGGGGAGCGGACGCTGACTGGGACGGTGATTGACAGCGGAGACGGAGTCACACACGTCATCCCAGTGGTGAGTGGTGCTCTTTTTGGGATTATCTTTGATCCCATTAACCTTAAACTAATGCATGTTTGTATTCCAGGCTGAAGGCTACGTCATTGGTAGCTGCATCAAGCACATCCCCATCGCTGGCCGAGACATCACGTACTTCACCCAACAGCTGCTGAGGGAGCGGGAGGTGGGGATACCTCCAGAACAATCCCTGGAGACGGCTAAAGCTGTCAAGGTCAGTGTTTCCGCATTTAATAGAACTTTTCAAATGTTAAAAAGAAAACGGAGATGGCCCCAAGTGCTTACATTTAAGTGCAAATATTTGATGTTTCAAAGTAAAGTGGCAAGATGGGAGGAATATCTAATGTTGAGTGTGGCTGTTAAACTCTTAAAGTGACACTCACACAAATCTATCCTACATTTAAAATGTGTGTCTCTCACAAAATTCCTACCCGATGCAGCTATGTATAAAAGTGTTGACTCCACAGGTCATCAAAGGTCAAACAGAGCATGACTCAAAATGCAAGACTGACTGCAATACGTCTGATTCTTCACTGCAAAGGGAAGCACCACCCTCAATAGATATTAATGGTTGTGTTAAGACTTTGATGTCCCCATCATGTATTTCTCAGATAGGCCACTAGAGGGCAGCGCCGCAGCCAAAGCATATCTCTCACCTTGACAGAGAAAAGATCATTCCCAGCAGATATTTCACATGTATTAATGGTTTTATTTTTCAGGAGCGGTACAGCTACGTGTGCCCTGACCTGGTTAAGGAGTTCAACAAGTACGACACAGACGGCTCCAAGTGGATCAAACAGTACACCGGCATCAACTCCATCTCAAAGAAAGAGTTCACCATCGATGTTGGCTACGAGCGCTTCCTGGGGCCCGAGATCTTCTTCCACCCTGAGGTATAACACGAACAAAAAGTGACTTTAAATAAGCAGAATTGTTGCTGATGTGCAAATCTCTAATTTACGTTTTCTGCTATTTTGTCTCGTCCAGTTCGCTAACCCAGACTTCACCCAGCCGATCTCAGAGGTGGTGGACGAAGTGATCCAGAACTGCCCCATCGATGTCAGACGCCCTCTGTACAAGGTGCAGGAACACGCCTCCAGCTGCTACAGTTCCTTTGTCTGTTTAAGTCTGCTTTGTGTAACATCTCCACCTCCCTGTGTTTCAGAATATCGTGCTGTCCGGAGGCTCCACCATGTTCAGGGACTTCGGCAGACGCATGCAGAGGGACCTGAAGAGGACTGTGGACGCACGGCTGAAGATGAGTGAGGAGCTGAGCGGCGGCAAGTTGAAGGTGAGGACACATGACGTCTTTTGTAATGCATTAAAGGCCTCCTGTCATGCAAAATGCACTTTTTGATGTCTTTTATACATAAATATGTGTACCCGGTGTGTCAGGGAACTCACTAAGTGTCAGAAAACAAAACCCTCTCTCTTTTCCTCCGTACCCGAATCTCTAAAAACGGAGCCGATCCAGATTTGCGTCCGATTTGACGTAATATCAGAAATGTGAGCTGGCTTTACGCCCACGGCCCTATCAGAAACCTCGCTATCAGAAACAATGCGCGACGTGTTTTGGAAATAATATGGTCTTTGTTTACATTAGCAATCATCGCTAACACTCAGAGCTAACCTGTACTGGAGAGAGTATGTGTAAAAAAGCAGGATATAAAAAGGAACTCACCTTGTGGTAAACCTGAGAGAGAAAAAGCATTTGAGCTCCATACTGTTTCAGAAAGAATCTTTGATGTGGTTTGGAACATGATATGGCGTTTCATCACGGCAGCATTTAGCTATGTCTGCCGGTAGACATCTCTCTCTTCTCTCTGGAGCTCACAGTGCTCCAAAGGGGGCGGGGCCAGCAGCTACTGACCCAGAATCAGCAGTTCTCTAACAGGGCTGAAATGGAGGGATATGAGGGAGGTCTAAAATCATTATCTGTTTGGTATTTTGAGCAAAACACATCATAGACATGTTTTTGATATATTTGTATATATCTGAGACCCGTTATATATGCCTACAAATAGCATGATGGGA